TGGAGCCTGGAGTACCCTGCCTTGCTCAGGTTTATTTATTATATAAATATTTGGAGCCTGGAGTACCCTGCCTTGCTCAAGTTTATTTATTATATAAATATCTGGAGCCTGGAGTACACTGCCTTGCTCAGGTTTATTTATTATATAAATATCTGGAGCCTGGAGTACCCTGCCTTGCTCAGGTTTATTTATTATATAAATATTTGGAGCCTGGAGTACCCTGCATTGCTCAGGTTTATTTATTATTCATATTTATAGTTACTCCCACCGTTTACCCGCGCTTGGTATTACATTTTGGTTCAAGTTGCCCGTAATAGCAAATTACTCTCCTCCATACGTATTTGTATCAGGGGCTTATCTATAAACAAAAAGTAGTAATCTCTGTTTGTTTGGGTGCCCGATCAAAACTCAGTAACCCTTTCTGAGATGTGATTTTAAAAGCTTTGAATGGCCTTGAATTTAATAAAAACCAACCAGCTTTGATTTTTCTCTCTTTAAGGCTCGAGTCTTCAGCAGCTGATGATCGTGAATTTCGTAAAATCTTTATAATTTAAAATCTCGGGAATTATTTGAAGTGTCTAATTTCATTGAATATATAAAATAAACATACTATGAAAACAATATCTACATAAAGTTTGAATTTTCGAAATTTACATCTCCTTGTCACAGCTGATCTGATGGCATTCTGTCTGCTACAGAGACAAAGCTTGCTAAACAGTCTCTTGTTCGAATCAGAACCAATCCTGACTTGGGTTCTATCTAAGCCCGAGTTTAGGTATTAGTCGGGTTTAAGCTTTTCAAATCTCATCTCTGTGGGGTACCCATGGGAAGCCTATGTCAGTCAATTTGGTCCAGCCGTTTGGCCAGCTACAACAAACAAATATATTTATATATGAGCGATGAGATTTATTTTAAAGATTATTATAAAATAAAGATTTTTTTTAATATGTCACAGCTATTAAATTAGAGGATTTATGACAAGCCCGCCCAAATTGTTAATATATGATTAGTTTATGTATTCCTTTTTTACATAATCCATATCTTATGTATGCGATTCATTTTTTACTGTTCTCTATAAACTTGAAAATAACACACAAAATTTGATGTTTGATTAGCTCACAAGTTTCTCATAGTAAGCTAGAGTATAATTCATCTTTGATAATAGTTGCACAAGAAGATTTAGAAAACCAAATGATTAGGTCCTCAGAAACAATTGATTTTTGCATTTTGTGAAAAGTTCTTTGATAATTGTGGATGTTATAAGAATCAGGGTTTGCCAAGAGCTGCCAAAATGACCTCTAAAGCAGCCTCCATTGTTTTGTCTAAATCCTGCTTGCATGTAGCGAGCTCCGGGTTGACTTCCACCAAGTCCAGGCCAGTCAATCGACCAGTGTCATGAACTATCTCACAAAGGGTCAAAGCTTCTCTCAGAGTTAGACCTCCACGGACTTTGGTACCTGTAATTCATAATAAGATATGATAATAGTTCAGATTAGGATTTGGATTATATTGACCATAAAGACACTGATTTTGATATTGGTTATTATTAGGATTAGGATTAGGATTAGGATTAGGATTAGGATTAGGATTGGGATTGGGATTGGGATTAGTATAAATATTAAGATTAGGATCGGGATTAAAAACAATAAACTAACTAGCCTGTTGCAGGAGCTTCTGCTGGATCCAAAACATCAATATCAAAGCTCATATGAATTTTTCTTTTCTAAAAATTAAAAATGATTAAATAATATTCACATTTACGTTGCTTGCTACGTTAATGGATAGTGAGATTGAAATGCATTCCTTTACTTGAATATTATTGACACATTATCCTATGTTTATTGAGTAATCCAGTATATTCCATTGTATTCTGGTGAGACTATACAGAATGCATATTGTATAAGGTTACAGTTGGCTGAAAGCTTTACCGATAGATTATCCGGGTATTTTTATCAAGATATACTTTTAATAGAAGTTCTGCTAAATTTTTCAATTATGAAACTTCAATAAACCCAAAAACTCAACAGCTGAATTAGAATTCTATAGATTTCCATCTAAATTTGTATTCACTGTGAAAGTAAACAAGTTCTGATCGAGAGAGAAACACGACAAAAAGGGTCAAAATTTTGTGTCCCTCAATGCCAAGATGACAATGCCCAATTCACAACGGTACCCTTTAAACCTTTATCTGATCAATAATGAGGAAGATTATGTCATTTTTACTGGTTAAAAGTGTTAAATCTGATCAACATTAACGTTCTCCTGCAGTGTAGAATGCGTAAGTCACCTCAGTGGAGAACCCGCAATTCTAAATAATCAGTTTCCAAAATTAGAAAGATTGATATCTAATTCATACTTGATCAGACAAAGCTTTTAATGGTACCGTTGTGAATCGGGCATTGGCATTATTAGATGGACTTGATATAATACTTACAGCCCCTTTAATTACTCCTATAAATACCTTGAGTGGATCCACTATATTAAGAGCAGATTCTACAGCATTGACTATCCCTATCCTGTCTATAGCTTGCATAGGGAAGCAAGGAATACTAAACTTTTGGATATAGGACCACTCCACCCCCTCCACATCACGTAAACCTAATTAAACATATTTTAAGATAATGTAAGATTAATTTTTCCGTATAAGAGTAATTAGTACACAGTTATTAGAATCAAGCCGAAACAAGGATGTAAAAAAGCATCATATTGACTTTTAGGATTTTCACAATTATAAATACACTCCTGGATTTAAAACTAATTTTAACAATTCAATACAAAATCATATTTTAATGTAAGGATTTAACAAATTAATCCCAAATATTTCAGATTAGTTTAAAATATTAGTATACATATATCAGAACTCTAAGTGGAATTATAAAGATTATAGATCTAAATAAAACTACAGATTATGATAAAGCTGTATTTTACTCCATATTTAACATTTTGGACCAAAGCAGAAAGAAAGCTTGACTTTCTGTTTCATTATACTCTAGAATCTTTTCTTAAGATCCAAAACATTATGAAACATAAAAGTTGAAATCCTGTTTTACGATGCACCTCCCCTAGGCACTCAAACTTTTACACCATATGAATTTGGAAGACAGACATTTAGAAAAATTAATAACTTTCTTCCTAAATCTTGACTAGGTTTATTTTTTAAAGTTTTGTTGAGATTATTTTTTATCTTTTTTTCAACTTGTATTTACCTCATCTGACAACCCAATTTTAAAAATGTTTTTTGTTTTTTGTTTGTTTTCTTGTGATTTTGTTAACATTTTGTATTTTTGATGGTTATTTTATCGTTAAAACTGAAGAGGATCAATCCAGACCGAAATATATTTTCAAACAATGTGGAACTAACACCTACTTCATTTACTCTATGAGGTTTGGATAATCGTCAACATGAACCTTGTATTTACCTATATACGCTAGCCTGGACGGAGAAAGACTGGGATTTAACCATTCCAATCCCTCCAGTTTTTTTGAGTTCTCTTTCTAAAAACAAGGAAAGTAATATTAATATTTCATCAAACCAATTCTTGTGTTAAAACGACTTACTTGTAGTTCTTTAATGTTAAAGCTAACAGGCATTCCATGCATGTTCCCAGTATTTGAACTAAAAAAAAATTTAATATATTATTTAGAGAAAAAATGTCGAATTAATAAAAAAAATTGACTCTGCATTCGTAAACATTACTTGGACACTGTATTCATAAACATTATTTAGACACTGTATTCATAAACATTACTTGGACACTGTATTCATAAACATTACTTGGACACTGTATTTTTAGAAACATATTACCTAGACTCTGTATTCATAAACATTACTTGGACACTGTATTCATAAACATTACCTGGCCACTGTATTTTATAAACATTACCTGGACACTGCATTCATAAACATTACCTGGACACTGTATTTATAAACATTACCTAGACTCTGTATTCATAAACATTACTTGGACACTGTATTTATAAACATTACCTGGACTCTGTATTCATAAACATTACCTGGACACTGTATTCAAAAACATTACTTGAGCACTGTATTCATAAACATTACCTGAGCACGCGATTTAAAAACTCGGCAAAATACGGCTCGGATGTAAGCTGTCGTTGGGCCTTATTTACAGCTTGAGCTTTCTGATTCAAGCTGCATCTTATTTTCCACAGAGTTGAGTTCAAAAAACCAGTTTAATATTCTAATTGGCGGATTTTCATGGTAGGAATTGGCACATTCCGGTTTTTTATGAGAACAAGACTCAACATTGAGCCTTATTCTCTACTAAAACCAACCAAGGTCGGTTTTATTTTCATTGTGCCTAACTACTTAAGACGAGCCGAAGATTTTGCAGCTGTCAATAAAGTGACACAAGCTGTCGTCAGAGTTGGGTCAAAGATTTGGTCTTAAAGTCGGGTTTACAAAATTACGCCTCGAGCCGAAGTTCTTAAATCGTGGGCTTTGGACACAGTATTCATAAAGGTTACTGTATTCATAAACATTACTTGGACACTGTATTCATAAACATTACAATTACCTGGACACTGTATTCATAAGCATTACCTGGACACTGTATTGATATCTGCATGAGCATCTACCCAAAGAACAACCGCTTCAGGGTCAGCTGCAAGATGTCCAGCTACTGTACCCAGACCGACTAAAGAATAATATTCATTGGAAAACTTAAATAGAAAATAATGTAAAACAGAAACGAGAATAGAAATATTAACGGACAATATTTTTAGATGACTCAGATGCGAATAAATATGAAATCATTTATCACGATAATGTTTCCGTAAAGGAAAAAAAGTTCATCGCACAATGTTTTTCGACCATTTTATAATCTAAAATATTTTTCAAAAAAGTTTTTAATGTATTTTTTAAAGGTTTTCCTAGATTATCAGAAATAAATGAAAGAATAAAAAATTGTTAAAATTATTTGTTTAGTTCATCAGTTTTAAACTATACAGTTATTGCGTAAAAGACAGCTATGAAAATCCTTTCTTCACTTATAACATCATGACGCGAAAATCAGTATATAGACAGAAATAAGCGCATCTCCTCTTTAAAATTTGCATTTCAAGGGATGCTAAAAAGTTGCGTTGGTAAGGTTAAACCAAGAGCAAAAGACAGGCAACAATTCAAAGTTGGCTTTTACGCTTTAAGAAATTAAATTAATCCTGGGACAATATGAAATTGTTTTCAAAAATTACTAACACGCAGAAAATTGTTCGATAATACTTGCAAAAAACATCATGAACTTTTTTTAAAAGGGCCAGCACAAGCACTTTTAAAAATCGACAATCACAAAGGGAGGTCAATTTTTCAATTTTTTTCGAAACATGTCGATATATTTGGGTGTCTAAAGTTGCGCCTCTAACTTCTGAATATTGCAAAGTTGTTGGAGTTTTGAAAATGCGAAAATTTGCAGGGCCAAAAAACTACTTGTTTTGAACGGTCTGGCCAATTTCCTCTTTTTATTATAGAACATTTTGATCAAAAAAGTTGCAAATTGTCCCACCCTTTAGTAAATGAGCTAAAACTTTTTTGAGATTTTTCAAATTATCTAATTGTTACTTGAATGATCACCGCCTAAAGTAAGACAGAATGAATCCTGTCCCAGTATCTTCTCAACCTTCTCCGAAACCACGCGATTGAAATCAAGAACATCCTTCTGCTTTCTTTTGCCTAAAGACACAAGGATGCATGAAACCGGATTTAGAAAAAAAAATTAGTATTACTTCAAAAATGCAACAAAGTTCTGATCAATTATTTTTAAGACTCGATATTTTTTATTAATGAAAAAATCCATGTTGCAAAGATATACCGTATAATCAAATCTTTTAATGTTTTTTTATTAATATTACCGTCTACCCTGGGTCTAGAAATATCTCCATGGTCAATAACCTCAAATCCTTTTTCCTTTAATTTTGAGATCAATCCGGCCTGCATCAGACAAAAACTAGAATCAGTTTGTAAAACCTACCCTTTGGGTGAGGAGTAAAGGAACTTTGGGAAAAGGAGAGAAGAAACTGAAAGGAAAAGAGAAGGGTGGGAAGTAACAGAACCTTGGGAAAAGGAGGGAAATGGTGGGAAGTAAAGGAACTGAGGGAAAAGGAGAGAAGGAACTAAAAGGAAAAAAGAAGGGTGTGGATTAACAGAACTGTTGGAAAAGGTGCGAAATGGTGTGAAGTAAAGGAACTAAGGGAAAAGAAGGAAAAGAGAAGGGTGAGGAGTAAAGGAACTGTGTGAAAAGGAGGGGGAAAGAAGAGGATAGTGAAGAAAAGAGGGGGATGGCGTGAAAAAAGAAAAGAGGAAACTGGAAAGAAGTAGGAAGTGAAGGAAATGGAAAACAGAGAAGGGAAAGGAAAGACAGGTAGGAAATTGGAAAATGGAAATGACTAAAGAGATGATTTGAGAAGGAAAGAATATGGATGGTAAGAAAGGAGAGGGGAGAAGGGAAAGATCTAAATATAAACGAAAATTGTGGAAATTAAACGTTATGAGCATGAGCAGAATATTATAGAACCGGATTTAAATTCTAAACCAGTTGAAATTCAATTTTAAAATATAGAAATTGTTAAATATATTTTCTGGACTTTTCGAGTTTAAGTTTATGGTTAGCTACAACACAGATTTATTAATAATTATATTCATTCAGTATTTTGAAAACTAGTATTAGACATCTGCGCTTTTTATTGAAAATGGTCACCCAAGGCTTAAAATTAGAGCAAAACAAGCATATTACTTCTTTTAACTTTATATATATAAGCTGACTCTGAGTCATTATTAAAAAAATTGCAGTGTATTTTTGTTTAATTCATTTTATTGGTTTAAAATGATGTTCAAAATAATTTTAATGCTCTTATACATTATTTTCGTTTGAAAGTTTATTAGTTATTATTCATATAGAGTGTCCAAATTTTATTGGTAAACAAGATACTATAGAAGATCGTCTTTGATTTTCGATGGACTCTAAATGATGAAAATTGTTCGTTAATTTTTAGTACTTTAAAATGTGAAACTATGTTCCAGAAAAATGGGCGTATATTAGACACGATCCGCTGGTTAACATTTAATTCTTGTGTTTATTGGGACACCTTGTAGCTTCACATCAATATTCAATATAAACATTAATCCATACTTGATCATTCATGGTTTCCACCGCTCAATGAAGATAAATACGACGAGGGAATGAAGATAAAAACATTCCGTTGATTGATCTAGGTTTTGTTTCCTCTCTGATTAGATTTGGTGCTTCTCCAACCCCCTGGTGAGGTTGACCCTGGTCGAAGCATGCTCCGAGGATTCCAACTCGACTTAAATAAGAAAATAAATCCTAGGACCGAATTTTATGAAATTGAGCTACGTCTCTGAACTACATACTTCCGGTTCAAATTTTTTAAGTCAGAGTGCAGAAAGGATTTGAATCGGTGATTCAAAATAAACGAATCTTTGTAACAAAATCAAATATTTAAACCCCGATATCTTTAGAACCCGATGTTGTAAACCTTTGATATTTCAAACTCTTATTATTTGATTTAACAGAATTCATAGTTTGAAATATCTAGGGTCTACAACATTTGGTTCCAAAGATATAGTGGTCAGAAAATCAGAGTTTGGGGCAAAGACTCAATTCCTTTGAGCCGGCTGGTTTAGTGACCCGCAAAATCATTAAATTCGGTCTCGGATTATGTAACTTTAAAATAATTTTTTTTGTAAGTTTTTAAAAATGCGCAAGTCGTTTTTTAGAGAAACTACAGTGAAAAAAATTAGTATCAACCTAAATATATTATTCATACTTAATCCGACGAAGCTTTTAAGTGTACTGTTAAATCTGTACATGGATCGTCACTTAAAATCACGTTTACAGTCCCTTTAAAGCCGTTAATTGTAAATAAGCGTAATTTCTCACCGGTAACAAAATGAACTATTCACAATTCTGATTATTTTATTTATTTTCGTTACTATTTTGTTTTCAATATCCAATATGAATTATCTGTGAAGGCCCTAAACCAAGGTTCTTAAATAAGGTTGGTTACTTTGTATGCGCTCCAATATACGAAAAATGTCGTTTCATGAGCATAGTTAAATAGAATCCGCATATACGACGTCACTGATTATAGAGGCAAGCGTGACGTCATATGCGGATCTATCTTTCTATGCAAAGGAGACGACATTTACCAAACAATGGAGCGCATCGAGAATAACCAACCTTATTAAAGAACCTTGCCCTGAATTATCTCGTGGGAAAATGAATTAATATTGAATTAGAGTTAAAAGAAAATTCTTTACTAATAATATTTAACTAATCCCCTCCTGAATCCAACAAATCCTAGCATTTGTATTTATTAAACCTATAGGTAGATTTAGGTTGAATTCTTGTAACTCTGCATCCATTGATAAAAACTGTCCCTACACTTTCAAGGATGAGATATCTTGTTAAAAGAAAAGAGCGTTTACTTCGCTCCCCCCCCCCTGTTTTCTAAGGATGTGCCCGTATAAAACTTTTCAAAGATAAAAGATGGTTCCCTATGATAGATAATTTGTTCTTCAGAAATATTTTATATTTCTAATTTGATGAATCAAAAATGTTAGTTTGAAGAAACTGTAGGACGAAGATAAATCATTTCCTGAATAGAAAAGTTTCCGGGATAAGATTGACATCTTGAGCTGATGTAAAGAGTACCCTGGTCCCTGAAACTGTGGAGAGACCACCGTAAAACTGAACCTAGTGTAAATAGTACCCTGATACTCCTGATACTGAGCCTGTTGAGAGAAGAACCAAACCAACAGGTTCAGAATACCGGGATACAGATAACCAATCTGCTCCAGGTGCCACATTTTATAAAGAAATGACTATTTGCGTAATTTTCAGGAAGGGGGGGGGGCTACTCTTATCTTCAACGTTTTTAAATAGCAAAATATGACCGAATTGACAACAAATCTTCAACCACGGCAAAATTTTGTTGGTTGCTTAAAGAAACCGGTTTTAGTTTCTAAATGTAAATTAATGAGGTTTGAAGAAAAGTTTACATTTGCAATCCTAAAAGGCACTTTACGCAGAAGTTTGTATAATTCTCTCTCCAGTTGTTGTTATTATGCAAGTAAATAACCAAGTACACCCTGTCTGTATCAACATATTTTCAGTCAAATTTTGATTTCTAAATCAAAATCCGTCGAAAATGGCGTAAATGACTTTACATATTTTATTACTTGCAAAATATAGGCCAACAAAAAAGTTAAAAATAGAAAATAGAAAAATATTTTTTTAAGAGGTAAAAAAGGATTACAAAGTTAATGCTCACTGACATATTAACCAGGACAACTAGTTTACCGTGTATGGTTAGGACATATTAACCAGGACAACTAGTTTACCGTGTATGGTTAGGACAGGTTAGAACTACGTCGCCTCGTTTCATTAACTGAAAAACGACCAACCCTTGATAATAAAGAGATAATAGAACGTATTTACTCCTCTGTCAACCCCAGCCAATCCTGGTTCTATTGAAGTTCAACCAACGGAAACCTAGAACTCAATATATTCTCTGCTCCGTATTGTCTGGAGAACATGGAGAGAGACACTTTCATATCCTACAGATTAATTATTCCTGTTTTTGCAGTCAGTATAATATTAACGGTAGAGCTGGTTCTAACAATATGCTCCGGACCAAATCCAACCCTCTCTCTTAGACTATTATCATTCAGAGAGCAGAGGGATATAACGTCGTAATAAATAAACCCCAACAAAAAGAAAACACGAAAAAGAAATAAAGCTCGTTAAAATAAACTGATGAAAAGTTTGTGAATATGATTTAATTATGAAAGCGTGTAGCTTCAATGTATGATTAAAAGATTACCAAAATAAGGAAAATAAGGGGGAAAGGAATTGAGTCTTTGCCACAAATTCAGATTTTGTAAAACCTATATCTTTGCAATCTTATGGTGAAAACCTTTGATATTTCAAACTTACATTATTTGACCTAATAGCATTCATAGCGTGAAATATTAAAGATCTGCGACATTGGGTTGCAACGATATCGAAATTATAAAATCAGAGTTTGTGGCAAAAACTCAATTCCTTTATAAAGCATGTTAACACAGAATAAATACTTGGAGATTTCGATCAAAAATCTTTTTGAAATGAAATACATTCGTTCTTAAAAAAAGGGCCTTTATATCTGTTTATATTTTAGCAATATTGTGTAAATCTGTTAATTGACATATCTCTTTATATGATTTAAGAGTTTCTGCGGTTTTAAAGTCTGGTATCAATCAAAATTGAAATGGAAAGTCGTCTTTATTATATAAATGTATATACGACGATAACTATATTTAATTAGTTTACGAAAAAATGTTCATTGTGAAAATGAGAGAAACTTTAATATTACAATTTTACAGATTTTAACGTTAAAAATTGTAAAGCTTTATCAGATGTTGCTCTTAACAACCCTTAGTGAGATAAAGAATAAAGGTCAACTAAGATAAATGAGAAAATTATGTAAAAACGAAAGAATTGAAAAAGTTCGAGGAAAGCTGAAGATTGATTAAAGAATATGTTTTATTATATTTTAGATTGAAGTGTGGATAAAGTTGAACAGATTGAATAGATCAGATGATGGAAGAATCGGACGGAAACTTGATTTTGAAATAAATTATTTTCGGATATTTGCAATAAATTTTAAGTTTAAAAGATTGCAATATATTCTGAAATAAGTTCTTATAAAATATGATGGGATCAACTTTAAAACAAACCCAAATCAACTTAAACCCTAATTTGAAATAAACTCTTACAATACAACCAGCTTAAACCCTATTTTAAAATGATTCCCGTACAATACATAGAACTCAACCCCTATATTTAAATAACCCCCCTTAGGATAAAATCAACTTAAACCTTGTATTAGAATGAACCAATTCTAACCAAAAAATCCGTTAAATTTTGAGTTCTTCAATTACGAAACATGGCGGCTTTATAGGCAATATTTAAACGTTAAAAATGTTATTAAAAGACATAATACAAACAACTTCAACCTAGTTCAAACTATATTGTGTTCATAATTTAATATTTTGAAACCAAGGCTGCAGTAGAGGCTGGAATATCAAACAATTGAAATTTTTCTCTTCGTTTTGAGGGGATGAGGCTTCGAGAAAAATTAAAATTCATCCCTAGATGTCTCGATCAACTAAACCTTATCAGCTATAACTCGGATCAGACTACTTCTGAAAACTCGAGGACTAGTCGGAGAGAGATTGCTATAAACGGATCCGAATACGGGCTCCTACTAAATAGCTCGGCTAAGAGTAGCTACTACGGAGTGCTCCCGAGTTGGCTCAGCTACAAAACGGTTACGGCCTGCACCTGAATTAGCTCAACTAAGAGCAGCTGGATCGACCATCCAAAATCTAAAAATTGAGTAACCGTAGTTCGGATTCGTAATCTCTCCCGACAACAAAATTGGACCCTTTTTTGGCTGAAACAAATTAACAAAACCCCAGAAAAAAAGTTCAGAAATCTGTGCAAACAAACAGCAACGTTCTATCCTAACGACAAACAAAAAATCTTTAAAAACACTTACCACGTACCTCGATAAATTCAGGTCGAGCTATTGCACTTGCTTCTGAGACGGGTTGAACGTAACTAAGCAAAAATCAGATTTCTAGAAAATCCGCGTAATTTTCAAAACCGGTTTGAAATGTTAGGGTGCCCGGCCCGAAATATTGAAAAAAAACCTATTGATAGGGTGACCCGAAATTGGAAAAACCCAAATGAAAATTGTATATGACTGCTGTTTATTTGCTTCCGATTATCTTCTGAATCAAATTTTGCTGACGAATTCAAACAAACCCCCTTTAGGATAAAATCATCTAAAACCCTGTTTTAGAATGAACCAATTCTAACCAAAAAATCCGTTAAATTTTGAGTTCTTCAATTACGAAAAAATGGCGGCTTTAAATGCAATATTTAAACGCTAAAATTATTATTAAAAGAGCAAAGTATAATACAAACAACTTAAACCATATTTACCTAGTTCAAACTATATTGTGTTCATAATTTATTATTTTGAAGCCAAGGCTGCAGCAGAGGCTGGAATATCAAACAATTAATATTTTGATTTAATGATTATATTTGTAGCAGAATGTTCCACGAATAATGGTCCCGGGGAACAGGAATAATTAGGAAATGTTAACATTACGCCATTATTATAAATACACAAGCAAACATATTGATTTCATTTTAGGTTTAATCTCAATAATCTCTTCCAGGAAATCATTTTTCTTCTTAGAACTCCAGGTGCTAATTTTGTGCCATATTTATTCCAGTTCCGCATTTCAGGTCTGTATCCAGGTCTGTATCCAGGTCTGTATCCAGGTCTGTATCCAGGTCTGTATCCAGGTCTGTATCCAGGTCTGTATCCAGGTCTGTATCCAGGTCTGTATCCAGGTCTGTATCNTGATCATATTATGTTTATCCTTGATAAACAATCTGATCATATTATGTTTATCCTTGATAAACAATCTGATAAATCTAAAAGACCTAATATTTGATTAGTGGTGTTATACTCAGCCTCTAATAAAGTATTGGTTGAAATGTTTAGAATTTATAAGAATGATGCGAGCTAAATGGTTTATAATTTTATATGTGCTTCAAAAATCCTTGCACATATGTAGTCAAATAATCCAATAGATATCTTATATAAAATAAAGCTCTTCGCTCTTATATTTTGGGTGAATTTTTTTTAGGAAACCCATGGGAACCTGGGGTAACATAGGCTAAAAGATTTGAAATTATTTTTTCTTTTAAAAAATCATTTTTTCTTCAAAATTCGAGATTTTTTGTTGTTACACGGGCAACGCCGGGCACTTCAGCTAGTAATACATACCTGTATATAAAAAATAGTAATCTCTGTTTTTTTTGTATGTCTGATCATAACTCATGGACACCTCGTCCGATTTGACTCAAATTTTGATTGAGAAACTCGGTAGAACCACGGGAATGTTCTTATCCAGGTTAAACAGATCTAAGTTGAGAAGGTCGACTTTTGTAGACAAAACTTAGTTTCCAGGCAAAGCTGGGTTCCTGCGCTAGCTATATAAATTAATAGATAGATATTATAGATCAATGTATTTAATGTATCAAGAACCAGGACTGTTTCAGAATTGTTTCCTTAACGATGATTTATCGTTGGTTCATCAAATACATTATAGAATAGGGTTATCCACAGAAACTGCAGGGATATCTAGACAATACAGGGATATCTAGACAATACAGGGATATCTAGACAATACAGGGATATCTAGACAATACAGGGATATATAGACAATACAGGAAAAACTAGACAATACAGGGATATCTAGGCAATACAGGGATATATAAACAATACAGGAAAAACTAGACAATACAGGGATATCTAGACAATCTTTATATATACTGTGCTTGTCTTTCTATTTGTCTGTTTGTTTGTATCCAATAAACGTCAAAACGGCTGAACTGATCTGGCCCAAATTTGTTGTAAGACCTTGCGTGACTTCAGGGAAGGTTTAGGGATGATCGAATTTTCAAAAATTTGTTTTAAACAAAATTCGATTTTGGAATATTTTGAAAATCCACGAAATTCTTTTTCATAAAATCCGCGAAATTTCTGTTTGTATTTGCATTACAATGTATACAAGGAGAATATACTCACAATTGAAATAGAAGATTGGCGTGAAGCGCCCTAAAAACCTAGTACAAGTATATTTAGACAATTCTGCGATAAATTTATATGGAATATCCTCATGCAACACATGTAAGAAAAATATTTACAAGAAAACTTTTGAAAGGGAAAGAATTAATTTTTCAGCTTTCTTAGCAAGCCAGTTGAGTTTTAGAAATACTTTTAAAACAATTTTCTAACATGTGTTTTTTCCATTAACAGTTTGAAAGATTTAAAAAGGGTTAAGCATTGAAAATATACGAAAAAAATGGAGGAAAAAATTAAAGAACTAAAGAAAAGTTTTAAAAGTTTATTGTTAAACCTGGAGAAGAATCAATCAAGATTATCTGATGTTATCCTGAAACCAATCTGGTTCTATCCTTCTCAATCTATTCTCTCTAATCTTCAAGGTTTACTTTCATCTATTGTATCATATGAAACTATAATTCAACACAATTGTCCGGTGAGTTTAGAATTCCTAAAGAGAAGAGAAATCTCGTAGGATGAGTGTAGGAAAGGAATGTTAAAGTGTGCGAGGAGAAGAGTATTCAGGGTCCCGGGATCTGGAGTCCCGAAACCCCGGTGTTCTTCCGTATACCCGGAGAGACAGGGAGGACGGATAGGGGAGGGGAAACTTATCATTTACCCGTGAACCTCCGAGATATGAGGGACCAACTCAGGACTTAAGCATAAACCAAACCTTGAACCTCACAAACCTCAACCAACCTCATTATAGACAATATTTATACTGACATTCATACAAACAAACCTAAAACATGCATTTCAATCAAAGGTTGGGGCTTCCTATTCTAACCTTTGTAAACCTCGTTTTTAGTGAAGTGTTATTGGATAATAAGATAAATGAAACCCCTGCGTTCCTTGGGAACTTCTTAATAGAAGACTCTTGCCAGTTCCAGCTCTGTGGTTCCTCCTACAGTAGGGAGTGGGGCGGAGAACCCCCTCTTGCTGGTTCCTGCTCCGGAGATTGCAGTTTGCTGGCCATAACCCTAAACTCAAACAGGTTCCATAAGGAGTTCCTGTGGTCCTCCTGCGCTAGGATGTGCGGGAACAAGTTCCCCGCTGACAGGAACCCTGAGTATAAGAATAGGTTCCTCTGCATGGAGTCCTGCTACTCAGCGTATTCTCTGGTTTCTCCTCATCATAATATTGCCAGATACTGCATGAAGGCTGCCTGTAATCCAACCCAAACGGAGCAAAATTCCTTCCAGGTTCGTTCCATTACAGTTTCTCATTATAGATAAATTGAAAGAAATAACAAGTTCTTCTTCGCAGAAAACTTTTCAGAGAACATGAATTTGGAACATTTTCTTTTTCTTTACCAGGAATATAATATAAAAATAATGCCCCCCCCCCTCTCCTCTTCCCTGTCCGCCCTACCAAACCACAAATTAGAAAATAATCTAATTACCGCCTAAATACTCCTAAGTGCCGGCTCTAAATACCTTTATATATTTTTCCTAATAAATAATTGTTTTCTTCTGCACTTAATTTTGTAATTTGATCCATTTTTTTCAAACTTTCCCCTTCTACTTTCATCTTTACTTACAACGATATAAATATATTTATGATTAGTTAATGTGTCTCAATCTGTAATTTTCAATGTAAACTTTATTGCTTACTACGAATACTTTTTCTTTCGTACTTGATTCTCAGATTATTGGTATGTTATCTATATATTTGGCTTGTCTGTCTGTTTGTATCCTTTAAACGTCAAAACGGCCGAACCGATCGGTCACATTTTTTATGTGGCAACTAATAATCCACCAACTAAACAGAAAAACTCTCGAAAATTGTTGTTTATTGAAGTACGATGAAAAAGGTTGAATTTGAAATTAACACTGAGACAGTTAAAAGTTAAAATTGTTACTAGAGAATTGAGGCGAAGCGTCCTTACCGCCTAGTTCTGTAAACTATCTTTTAGTTTTATTCTTAAAATTCTGTCAAACACTTTTCTTCAGATGGATATTCTTTCTTTATTCGAATCTTGTAATAAACTTATTTTGTTTTACTTTGGATTTTAAATAATTTTCAAGTTTAAGAAATTAAAAAATAAGACAGGGAAAATATTGAAGGGAAGGTAGTGAAGACTAAAATCAAGTTTTCCTAGAATTAATTTCTCCGGAAGTTCTCAGTTGCTTGGTTCCTTTGTAGCAATTACGAATTAGTTTGCTTTGTCCTTACTTTAACATTGTAGTTTAGTATTACCCAACTTCATCATTTAACTTCATTTTACATCTGTCTTCTTATTCTGCCATTTTTTCATCTTATTCTTCTACATCTTTCTTCTTATTCTGTCATTTTTTCATCTATTCTTCTACATCTTTCTCCTTATTTTGTCATTTTTTCATCTTATTCTTCTACATCTTTCTCCTTATTTTGTCATTTTTTCATCTTATTCTTCTACATCTTTCTTCTTATTATGTCATTTTTCATCTTATATTTCTACATCTTTCTTCTTATTTTGTAATTTCTCATCTTATTCTTAAACACCTTTCTTCTTATTTTGTCATTTTTCATCTTGTTCTTCTACACCTCTCTTCTTATTTTGTCATTTTATCATCTTATTCTTCTACACCTTTCTTCTTCTTATGTTATTTTTCATCTTATTCCTCTACACCTTTGTTCTTATTTTGTCATTTTTTTCATCTTTTTCTTCTACACCTTTCTTTGCCATTTTTTCATCTTATTCTTCTACACCTTTCTTCTTATTCTGCCATTTTTCATCTTATATTTCCATTAGAGGACTTTTTCGTCTTATAAATCTTCACTTTTCTTCTTATTCTGCCATTTTTTCGTTTTAATCATCTACACCTTTCTTATCATGACACTTTATTCGTCATATTCACATACTTCTTATTTCGTCAATGTTTTAATTTATTTTCTACTTTTGTCATCTTCTTCTTCTTATTCTGACACTTTTCATGTTTTTCTCTATTGTACTCGTTTATTTCTGCCACAAAGTAATCTCATATTGCATTTTTATTCTTATTTTTATTCACTTTACAGAATTCATTCATATTTTTATCCTATCACTTCTTTTCTTGTAGTACTTATTTTTCATATTTTTCGTTCTTACTTCACTGACATATTCTACAAACCTTTCAGCCAACTGCTTTAAAACGTCCAATTTAATTATACAATTCAATGAAATCTTCTCAATATGAAGACTACACCCAACTCAACCATGCATTCTGCCTGTATCCTGTCTCAATCATTATCTCACAACTATACTGAGTTTAAATCTGTAATTGACATTTGGGTCACAGGAAACCAATAATTGTTGGTAGATATTTATCAAGTGATCAAATATAATAATAATTATAATTAATAATAATATGCATGCAATATATATATCATGAATATAAACCACATAATGGGGCTTATACGTGAGCAGGGTTCGGAGCAAAGGAAACGGATGGGTTGAGAACAGGCGATAAGGAAAGGGTTGGACGTTAATAATTACTGATTAGGAAAAAATTACAAGTTGAGGAGTTGGGAACAAGTTTTTTTTACAGAGGGTTGGGAGTCAGTGATTCGGGCATGGTTAGGAGCAAGTAATTAGGAGCAAATGATGAGTAGAGCTTTTGGGAGTAAATTAAGAAGTAAGGGTTGGGAGCAAGAAGAAAGTAGGAGGTTAGAAGCAATGGAGGTTGGAGTTTTGGGAGCAAGTAATTAGGAGAGGGTTGGGATTAAGAAATAACAAAATGGTTGGGATGGTTAGTTACATCGATTCAACTATATTTATGATTTTTTAATATTGATATATATACATTTATAAATATTTGATTTGATTATCCTGTAAACGACAAAACGGCTGAACCGATCGGGCAAATTTTTATGTGGCGACTAATAATCCACCAACTAAACAGAAAAATTCCCGAAAATTGTTGTTAATAAATAAATTACTTCTACAAAAACTGGAAACCAGGGTTGAATCATGTAATTTTAAATATCCAATCTTGTATTTATTAAATTCAAATATTCATATTTTGTATATTTTTATTTATGTTTCTATATATTTTTAATATCTCTCAGTTCCCTAATAAAACCTATTTTCAAACTCCTCCCAAAATATTAAAATCCAACTTTTAAAATGTTTTTGAACAATAATGTACAATGTACAGTTATATTGGTGTTCCGTACACCAATATAATAATGTACAATGTACAGTTATATTGGTGTTCCGTACACCAATACAATAATGTACAATGTACAGTTATATTGGTGTTCCGTACACCAATACAATTAGGGTTGGGAGGCGCATGGGGAGTTTACCAGATATATTGAGGGTTAAAATAGTAGTTATTAAACAGTGATTAGATTGATGGATAGGGTGGAATCTTTATGATTAGAGGGTGCTAGTAAACACCACAACATCTGGACATATAGATAGATAGATTGATACATACACACCTAGCTTGGTAAAACTTCCCATGTTCATGGTAAACCTTTCCATACTCATGATAAACCTTTCCATACTCATGGTAAACCTTTCCATACTCATGATAAACCTTTCCATATTCATGATAAACCTTACCATACTCATGAAAAAACCTTTTCCTTCTCATGATAAACCTTTCCAATTTATGATAAAGCTTTCCATACTCATGATAAACCTTTCCATTCTCATGATACACCTTTCCATTCTCCTTTCAATATTAAATTTAAACCTTTCCATGCTAAGCCTTTCAATGCTAGTATTAATCCTACAAATAAATCTTTGAATTCATGACTTTCCAATATTTTAAACAAAACATTTATAACTATTTGCATATTCTGACAAACACTACCCGGCCCGACCAACATTATCCATTTGGACAAATCTTTTGTTTTGACTTTTTTTTAGTTTTTTTAAGAATTAAGGATGAAATCTGTCAGACTGTAATACAATAGAATATATCACTTGGACTCGGAATTCTGTCCTGCATGCAGAGCTAGGGGAGTTTGCTTAAATATCAGAATTCTCAGCACTGCTCTGACAGGTTGCACAGATTTTGTAAAATTTAAGATAAAACTATCTTTAAGATATTTTCAAAAAATATCAAATATATAAGGGTTCTTCTGAAATTATAACAAATTAAAGAATCAAAGGATAGTTTTCTCTAGTATTGTATAGTTCTAGGATAGTTTATCTCTAGTAGTGTATAGTTCTAGGATAGTTTTCTCTAGTATTGTATAGTTCTAGCATAGTTTATCTCTAGTATTGTATAGTTCTAGGATAGTTTATCTCTAGTTTTGTATAGTTCTAGGATAGTTTATCGCTAGTATTGTATAGTTCTAGGATAGTTTTTCGTTAGTATTGTACAAGTTCTAGGATAGTTTATCTCTAGTATTGTACAAGTTCTAGGATAGTTTATCTCTAGTATTGTACAAGTTCTAGGATAGTTTATCTCTAGTATTTTATAGTTCTAGGATAGTTTATATCTAGTATTGTATAGTTCTAGGATAGTTTTTCTCTAGTATTGTACCAGTTCTAGGATAGTTTATCTCTAGTATTGTACAAGTTCTAGGAAGGTTTGGTTGAAAATAGTTTAAGAAACTAGTCAGGAAGAGTTTATATATTAACCTTAGGGGAATTATACTTCCACAAATAGATAGATAAATATATATATAGATAGATAGATAGATAGATAAATAGATAGATAGATAGATAGATAGATAGATAGACAGATAGATAGATAGATATATAGATAGATAGATAGATAGATAGATAAATGTAAGGATAGATGGATGGATATATAGATAGATAGATAGATGGATAAATATATATGTAGATAGCTGGTTAGATAAATAGATAAATGAATAGTTAGCTTGATAGATAAATACATAAATTTATTGATAGATAGATAAAAGGATAGATATATGAATACTAGATGTATATTTAGATAAATAGATGAATTGCAATTATCTAGACGTATCGTGAAAGGAGTGTCTAACAAACTTGAGAGTGTGATATTTAGTAAATTCCAAGAACAGGGGAGAGAAGGGATATTTTGTACATATAGAGACGGATGGAATATATTCAAAATATATTTACATTCTTCAAATAGCTGTATATATATCTAAAGAAATATATAAAATAAATAAAATCTAAAAATAAGCCTTATCAAATCGCTAATTCATTTGGAATTACAATTTCAATTGTAGATAATTAAAAATAATTTCCCTTTTAAACAATATGCTGCTTAGTGCTTACCCGGCCTTCAAACAATATGCTGCTTAGTGCTTACCCTTCAAACAATATGCTGCTTAGTGCTTACCCTTCAAACAATATGCTGCTTAGTGCTTACCCTTCAAACAATATGCTGCTTAGTGCTTACCCTTCAAACAATATGCTGCTTAGTGCTTACCCTTCAAACAATATGCTGCTTAGTGCTTACCCTTCAAACAATATGCTGCTNAAACAGTAGATACTTACCCTTCAAACAGTAGATACTTACCCTTCAAACAGTAGATACTTACCCTTCAAACAGTAGATACTTAACCTTCAAACAGTAGATACTTACCCTTCAAACTACAACTAATTACCATTCAAACAACAACTAATTACCATTCAAACAACAACACCTTTCTCTCCCAACAATAATTGATTACGCTCCCAACCGCTGCCCTATTTACTAACAGTCGCTTATTCTTCCATCTGAAACCCTACCAAAAACGTTCGTTTACACTACCGGCTAATACGGCGAACCCTCCCAAAAGCATCAGCTTAACCCCGCCCCCTTTCCAACGGACTAGTTATGTGGAAAGGTTTATTATTATCTGCCCGTAAAAGTTTGTGAATTTGTTCAGAAATTATAAAAATTAAATACTTTAATTTAACAGTTTTGTTCCAAAGTTTCTGTTCTCTAATGGCGAATTCTGGTTTTGTGGTTTCTCTGGGTGCTACATATCACGGCCAGTTACTCCAATATGTATTGTATTTGGGTGTGAGGGCGTGAGAGGGGTAGGGGAATTATAGAATAGTGTATCTAGTATCTTGTATCCAGTATCCTGGAGATGTTTTCCCCTTGTTGCACCCCACCAGCTGTATGTCATTCGATATTTGACTTTAACATTTGTTTCCGGCACTTGCTGCAACCCTTTGTCGCAAGGATGGATTACTCCGGGTAGGAGTTAGAACAGTAGCTTCTCTGTCCCACCCTGGCTCGTTGACAGATGAAACCTTGTGCCGGAGTTTGGAGCGGATAATTTCAACCCTTTACAAATACCGGAAGCATAACAACATGTTGAGAAGCTCAGGAATAGATATCATTAGCAGTAATCGGGGAGGAAGGGAGGTAGGAAGGGACTTAAAAACTAAAATTAAAATAATATTTTAGGCAGATGTCCTCTTTATAGATTTTCTCTGAAAGGAAAAATGTGAAAATAAGTTTTGGATTTTTTTCTGTCGTTTTAAAAACCCACTTACCGTCTTATTTTACAACAATTTAACACTTTTAGTGTTCATGAATTCTTAATGTAAGCTTTCTTCCTGATCCTATAATGCTAAACACTTTTTACAAGAAATTGAATTTTTCAAAACTAAAAAAAAGCCTTAACATATTTCTTTATATTTTTAACATTTATATATATAATATATATATACATATACATATTATATAAATGTGTATTGTAGAAATATAATAAATACTAGACGTCCTTATATTAGGTGCAAATATCTAGTCATTATTTTCATCTTCTGTATATAACGCATAGTAGATGCATCTGACAAATCATAAAACATATTCGCTTAGGAACATCTTTACATACTGTATACCATATATACGCATTAAATACGGTAGAACGCCTGCACACAAGATTCATTAATCATTATTATTATTCTCTGGAGTGTGATTAGTTTAATATATATCTTCTATTCTAGATCGACTGCTTCGAGAGATGTACGGAGCACGTATCAAGTACACTACCGGAGTCAACCTGGAAGGTTTGGGCTCAATCCTTAGCTTCAACCTGCTCCAACCAGACTAAACAACAGGATATTCTTTACTCAAGGTGAGTCATCTTGGATATTCAATACTATTTTTTTCGACCCTAAGTATTCAATCCTTAATATTCAGTAATGGATATTCAATCCTTGATATTCAATCCTGGATATTCAATTCTTGATATTAAATCCTGGATAGTGGATATTCAATCCTGGATACTCAATCCAGGATATTCAATCCTGGATATTCAATTCTTGATATTCAATCTTGGATATTCAATTCTGGATATTCAATCATGGATATTCAATCCTGGATATTCAATCCTGGATATTCAATTCTTGATATTCAATCTTGGATATTTAATTCTGGATATTCAATCTTGGATATTCAATCCTGGATTTTCAATTCTTGATATTCAATCCTGGATACGCAATCCTGGATGTTCAATCCTGGATATTCAATCCTGGATATTCAATTCTTGATATTCAATCTTGGATATTCAATCCTGGATATTCAATAATGGATATTCAATCCTGGATATTCAATCCTGGATATTCAATAATGGATATTCAATCCTGGATATTCAATCCTGGATATTCAATCCTGGATATTCAATTCTGGATATTAAATCCTGGATACTCAATCATGGATATTCAATCCTATATATTAAATTCTTGATATTCAATCTTGGATATTCAATTCTGGATATTCAATCCAGGATATTTAATTCTTGATATTCAATCCTGGATATTCAATTCTTGATATTCAATCTTGGATATTCAATCCTGAATATTCAATAATGGATATTCAATCCTTGATATTCAATAATGGATATTCAATCCTTCATATTTAATCCTGGATATTCAAACCTGAAAATTCAACCCTGGATAATCAATCCTGGATACTCAATCCTGGATATTCAATCGGAGATATTTAATCCTGAATATTAAATCCTAGATATTCAATCCTTGATATTTAATCCTGGATAATCAATCCTGGATATTCAATCCTGGATATTCAATCCTGGATATTCAATTCTGGATATTCAATCCTGGATATTCAATCCAGGATATTCAATCCTGGATATTCAATCCTGGATAATCAATCCTGGATATTCAATCCTGGATATTGAATCGAAGATATTTGATCCTGAATATTCAATCCTAGATATTCAATCCTAGATATTCTAATCCTGGATTTTCAATCCTAGATATTCTAATCCTGGATTTTCAATCCTTGATATTCAATCCTAGATATTAAATCCTTGATATTCAATCCTAAACATTCCCTTGTTTTGTCTGATATTGGAAAAAGAAATATCCCTGAACAAATATTGTGACAAATAATCCTAGGATACTTGAAATATTGTAAATATTTATTATCATCAAGAAAATAATTCTAAACCATGTTTTCGCAATGATGAAAAATCTGTACTATAAGCCTAGACCCTGAGAACTGTTCTGTTTAGACTGAAGTGTGCTGATGGAGCAGTATGGGAGTATATCAGCCAGGTTGAAACTAAAGCTGAGGAGAAGCATGCGTCCTTATGCCTGGATACTCTCTGCAACTCCCAGGTTAAATGCGGAGTCTCCTGTCTCAACCATATCCACAACCTTCACAAGAAACAAAGGTAATTATATATTTTATGATTTAGCTTTCTCATAGATACTCCCGCCGTTTACCCCCACTTGGTCGATTTTACCGGGAAACAAAATTTTTGCTATTAATGTCGATACAATTAGCTTAGATTCTCTAAACCAAGCTAAGATCATTCCCGTGGTTCTTCCGAGTTCGCCAATCATTTAGATTAAGAATTGATAATATGCCTCAAACTCAAATTTTCTATCTAGTTCTCTAGTTCTATCTTTGAAACCAGTCTGTCCAAACCATATATATTTCAAATTTTGACAATCAAGCGGAATCAAAGAACGACGACATCAAGTTTCAAAGATATAAGAGTAAGAAAATTAGAGTATGAGGAGAGTAATCTGGTCCTTGGTTCAAATTGAAGAGTTTTCAGAATCAGTTTATATTTATCATGTTTAGGGAGGAATGGAGCAAGTGCAGTTTGTCCATGGAGTGCTCCAAGAAATCCGATTGGCATGCACGCCAGCAGTGCGCTGACGCCTGTCTGCTCCATATGGAGCAGGAGAGGGAGCGTGAGCGTGAGATGAGACTGAGATCTGAATCCCAAACCCAGCTGAAGCTCCAATACTCTAGTCCAGGATGGATCCCGTGTCTCCAGATATCCCTGTTTACTGCTTCCCTTTCTATCCTTGTATTTGTCTAATGTAAATATTCGGTGATCTCTCTAATCAGTATTCTTAATAAAATTTTGCTCACAAAATATTTTCCAAAAAGAAAAGATTTGAGGAGTTTTGAAAAGATAAACATTTTTATGAAGAAATAAAACACTAGGTGTAAAACATAAAGATAGTATTGATATAATACAATATATGGGGAAAATAGAATAGTTTAGCAAAAATTAGTAGAATAAGTAAAATATTGCAGAGAAGACTTGGAAGCTGGTGTTTTCTTGAGAAAACAAAAATGAAAATAGAATAAAATTATTGAAAAAAACATACAAAATATTTTAGGAAATATGCATGGTTACCGAGAAAGGATGAGACTTAAATGACGACCTGAAACTCTTAGAACATTACAACTTAAAGCATAGCATTTGCCGTTAAATAAGTCTTTCAGTGGTAAATTAAAAGATTTGAAGTCTCGTCCTTTGTAGGTAAACCTGTATGAGAGTTAAAAACCTCTCTAGATTATCTGGGAAACTTATAATAACACAGTTTAAATTCGATTTTTCTTTTTAGAAAGGGTTAAAATCCTCTAATATCCTTGGTTGTTGTTTTCCGAACCAATAAATCTTTTGCAATTATCCCCCCAACCCCCGCCCCTCCCTCGTCTAAAATACTCCGCTCAGCANTCCGTCCTATCATCTCTTCAACCCATCTTTCACTCAGTCCTATATCTCTTCATCCCATCTTTCACCCCGTCCTATCATCTCTTTAACCCATCTTTTACTCTGTCCTATTCTCTCTTCATCCCATCTTTCACCCCGTCCTACTATCTCTTCAACCCATCTTTCATTTCGTCCCATCCTCTCTTCAACCCATTTACCACTCCGTCCTATCCTCTCTTCAACCCAACTTTTAAACCGTCCTATCATCTCTTCAATCCATTTATCACTCCGTCCTATCCTCTCTTCAATCTATCTATCAAATTTTTTAAAATTCTTTACTTTACTTTTAGCCCCCCTTACCCCCCCCCCCCCTATCATAGAATTTCTAAAACTACACTTATAACTAAAACATCGCCTTTCTTTCTTAATAGTGAATATATTTATAGGAATAATTTTCAATATCAATAAATTTTCGAACTAAAGATTAAAACTGAAAAATTATTAAAAAATTGGTCCTTTACCCTGATAAATTGTGTTTTCACAAACAATTAGTAGGAATTGAAGGGTTTTCTGGTGTATCGTTGTATCCAAACCATCAATCATATATCTGATAAATAACCTGGTAGGACGGAGCTGAATCCTAGAATTGACAGTAATTACTGCACTGTCCGGAGTCATATATCATTTCTAACAAGCCAACCCGTCCTAAATCAAACTTTTTTAGTGTTTTAATCCGTCCTTTGGTTTCTTTAATAATACATTAATTGTTTCGATTTTCTGTTATATTTTTATTTTTTTCCATAATTATTTTCTTTTCATCCTAAAGAAAGGGCGGCTTGTGAATGAGGAAGGTGTGTATATATAACCTCCTCGAACTCGAAAAAATTGAAAATTTTTATTAATTATGTGGATTTTTTTTTCAGAAAACTTATTTCACACTAGCTAAAGTGCCCGGCGTTGTTTGAAGAAAAAAACTGTAAAAAAATTCAAATTTTGAAGAACATTTTTTTAGCCTTATGTTATCTCCAGGGTATCCATTGGTTTTCTCAAAAATTTAGCCCATTCGGTACAGCCATTTGACTAGCTATAGCCAACATAATATATAGATTACTAGCTGAAGCGCCCGGCCTTGCGTTGCCCGTGGAATTTTAAAAACACGTTTTGCCAGCTATAGCTAACATAAATATATATATATATATAATATCCGTCTATTTATCTATCTTTTTGTCTATGTATCCGTCTGTTTATCTATCTTTTTGTCTATGTATCCGTCTATTTATCTATCTTTTTGTCTATGTATCCGTCTATTTATCTATCTTTTTGTCTATGTTTTTGTCGTTGTATTTTAAATTTTTTTTCGTCTGATTATCTTTATTTCTATCTATTTGTCTGTCGATGTGTCTGTGTGTTTTTTCTCGATCTGTCTATCATCATTCATTTTGTTTGTCTGACTATATCTACATATGTCTGTGTGTTTTTTTGTCGATCTGTCTATCATTTTGTCTGTATGAATATCTCTCTGATTTTTGTCTACAAGTGTCCGTCTAGGTGTCTATGATTTTGTCTGTATAACTATCTATATATATTTTCATCTGTCTATCTGTCTTTTTATCATTTTGTCTGTCTGTTGGAGATGTTCCCTGCTATTATCCAACTATCTGTCTGGAAAAATGTCTATATAGGTTGGCATTTGGGAATTGGTAAAATGAAATGTAATTGTTAAGATGAGCTAAACCAATTTTTCTAATCTTTCTCCCACCAACCCATCAACCCGTCAACCCTGGGAGCAAAGGGAATTTTGACTTATTTTCAGAACATCAGAAGTAGGAAGGGATAAAAAGGGGGGAAGAGAAATAAAGAAGAAAGGCAGGAATGAATGAGACGAGAGAGAGAACCCACTAAAGTAGATCAGAAGAAAGACAGGAATGAAAAAGACAAGAGAGAGAACTCACTAAAGCAGATCAGAAGAAAGGCAGGAATGAATGAGACGAGAGAGAGAACCCACTAAAGTAGATCAGAAGAAAGGCAGGAATGAAAAAGACAAGAGAGAGAACTCACTAAAGTAGATCAGAAGAAACGCAGGAATGAATGAGACGAGAGAGAGAACCCACTAAAGTAGATCAGAAGAAAGGCAGGAATGAATGAGACGAGAGAGAGAACTCACTAAAGTAGATCAGAAGAAAGGCAGGAATGAATGAGACAAGAGAAAGAACCCACTAAAGTAGATTAGAAGAAAGGCAGGAATAAATGAGACGAGTGAGAGAACCCACTAAAGTAGATTAGAAGAAAGGCAGGAATAAAGTAGATCATGAGAAAGGCAGCAGATCTAGAGAATTTTGTTCTTAGCACATAAATGTCCGAAATCGTAATTTTGGTCCAAATTTCAGACTTTAGCTATACACTACCGTTTTTTTTTCGGACACCCTGTATGTATTTTCAATTTTTTCGATGACCCAAAGATGTATATTCACAAGTGATTTTGCTTATTCATCATTTATTTAGCTGTAAGACGAAGGTGTAGATACACGAATAGATTAATATTATTGTATCGTGAAAATCGGAACACAGCTCAGGTCTAAACTCAATGAATATCGATATTTCAAAAATGAAAAAGAATGCTCAGATACAAGTTCAGGATGAAACAAACACGAACATGTTAAAACGTTAAAAGAGCCCAGGAATAAAAAGTGATGAAAAATGAGAATCAAATTTAATAATTAATATATGTTAAGAGAAAGATCATTTCCGAATAAAGAAATTAATTTCTGAAAATTTTTATTTCTGAAATTAAAATTTAATACTTAAGAATAACTGTAGATGTATTTGTAAGTTAAGAAGGGGGAAACAACAGGATAGAAAATCAAAAATATTGGAAACTAAAGAGAAATAAAAGGGGGGAAAAAGGAAAAAAGAGTAAAAAAACTGGAAAGTTAAAAGCAAGGTGAGGATGAAAACGTGTTA